GTTTGATTTCCCTCCTACCATAACCTGGAGATTATAGGTATGTGCCACTGCCTCCCTCTGCAGAGATTGCAGGTATGTGCCACTGTTCCTAGATCTAATGTTTTGTTTTGTTTTGTTTCTTAAATATTGCTTATTTATTTAATTAATGCATGAGTGAGAGTGTAGGCATGCTTATGGGGGTCGGAGACCAAATTTGGAGAGTCTTTTCTCCTGCTACTCTGTGGGAACTAGGGATGGGTGTCTCCAGCCCTGCTAGGAATTTTGTTGTTGTCGTTTGCTTTTTTTGGTTTTTGACACAGGGTTTGTCTGTGTAACAGCCCTAGCTGTTCCGGGACTCATGCTGTAGAACAGGCTGGCCTCCAACTCACAGACATCTGCCTGCCTCTGCCTCCCGAGTGCTGGGATTAAAGGTGTGCACCACCACTGCCCCTGCCTGTCGGGGATTTTTAACTGTCAGCATCTTAAAGTCCCTGAGTCCTGCCTCCCATACCAGAGAGCTCTCTTGTCCTTCAAAATCCTGTGCCCAGAAAGAGGAACTAGGAGAGAGCAGTGACCTATCCTGTGACACACACACCACCAGGGAGTCTTCTTCTCCTTTACTATTTAATTTTTTCATTTATTTTACATCCTGACCATGGTTTCCTCTCCTCCTGTCCCCTCCCCCCACTGCCTCCCATCTACCTGCCGTCCCCAGTCCACTTCTCTCTCAGAAAAGGTCAGGCCTCCCATGGGAGTCAACAAAGCATGGCAGATCAAATTGAGGCAGGAACAGACTCCTCCCCGTGAGGCAACCCAGCATGGGGAATACTTCCCCAAAGCCAGCTCATGCACCAGGGACAAGTCCTGATCCCACTGCGAGGGGCCCCACAAACCGACCACGCTACACAACTGTCACACAGCTGCAGACAGCCAGGGTCCATCCCATGCAGGCTCCCAAGCACAGAGTCCATGTGCTTCCAGGAGCTCAGGTCAGCTGTGTCTGTGGGTTCACTGGTCATGACCTTGACACCCTGGCTCATACAATCCCCCCCCCCCCCCCTCTGCAGCAGCATTCCTAGAACTGGCTCCAGTGCTTGGCTGTGAAAGTATCTGCTTCCCTCAGTTACTGGATGAAGGCTCTTTAATGACAATTAGGATAGTCACCAATCTGATTACCGCAGAAGGCCAGTTCAAGCACCCTCTCTGCTATTGCCAGGGCTCTTACCTGGGGTCATCCTGTGGATTCCTGTGAGTTTCCTTGGCACCGGGTTTCTCCCTAACCCCAAAGAGTCCCCTCCTATATCAAGACATCTCTTTCATTACTCTCCCCCTCTATCCTGCCCACAACCCACCCAACCAGACCCATCATATTCCCACACTGCCTCCCACCAATTTACCCAAGAGGGCTCTTCTATTTCCCCTTCCCAGGGAAACCCATGCATCTCAAGGGAGTCTTCTTGGCCTCTAAATACCGTGTCTGACTTTGAGAGTAAATGTGACCATTCCACTTGTTCCATGTTCTGTTAAAGAGTCCTCTAGTGAAGTGGCTGGTGATCATGGTCATAGGGGGTTTTCTGGCTGGTTGCTTGGTTGTTGTTACAATTGTTATTTTAATGTTCCTTTTTGGCCAGGTACAAGTTGATAGATAATCTGAGTTGCCCAGGTCTAGTCACCATGCCGCCTCTGCAGTACAGAAACAGCTGTGTCTTCGTAGAGCATGTCTTCCACTCTTGCAGAAGTGGATGCTCTGCCCATTTTGTGGTTGAGCGAACAGACGTGGAAGCATGTGTTCTAAATTATTATTAATGTAATACAGGCTTGTTCTGGCACTGATTAAAACTCTGCTCTCCAGATCCTTCTGTGCACGGTCATTATACGCACAGAGCTGTTTTGTGTGAAGTTTCCAGACTTTGCATGTTCCTCACACCTTGCAAATATGGACTGATGTCCTTTCATGCTGTGGTGGGCATGGAGGAGGAGCACTGTTCCCTGACAGTTGTGCTTCACATTAGTAATGGTAACTCTTGAGCGAAAAATAGAGATGTCTCTATTCCTGCCTGGCAAAAGCTTCCTACATCTTTTGAAAAATCCTCCTTTGAGGGGATAGTTCACACATCAGGTTTTGATTCCCGTGCAGTTATTTTCCATTCTGAGAGGAGCCAATTATTATCCTAAAAGGTCAGTATTTGGTTTCTGGACTTAATTGAACAATCGAGTTTCATGCCTATTTTTTCTTTAACTACAAAGTTCTATTTTAAATGTAGAAGTCTTTCACTTTGGTAAAAGTAGATGGTTGGTGCACAAGAAGACTAAACAGTGCTAGAATTGGGCAACACTTTACTCCTACTATACACACACACACACACACAGAGAGAGAAAGAGAGAGAGAGAGAGAGAGAGAGAGAGAGAGAGATACACACCAATAGTAATAATAACAAGTAGATGAAAAATTGAAAGACCCAAGGTTCCCATCCTCAGCTTTTTAAAAAGAGGAAAATTTCATATTACTCTTAGGAGTCTCACTCTCTCTCTCTCTCTCTCTCTCTCTCTCTCTCTCTCTCTGTGTGTGTGTGTGTGTGTGTGTGTGTGTGTGTAGGTCCTTTTGTCTTTCCCGCTGTCTATGTCTGTGTGTCCTGAGGATTGATAGTAGGGCCCCACTCATGCTAGGCCAACTATACCAGTGAACTACACCATATATTTTTTTCCATCTGGGCTGATCTTAAGTCACTCTTACCCCACTGAGATCATAGATCTTTGATCTGCCTGTCTCGGGTTCCTAAGTAGCTTAGTTGATAGGCCTACAACATCATACCTGGCTCTCTAGGCACTTTGGATAAGACATTTTATGTATTGCAGAAGCTCAGTGGAAACTCAAATGCCTGGTTCAGATCCAACCTCCACCACTGGTTGAACTGTGTGACATCAGGTTTACTCTCCTGATGCATCACCTTTGCCTGATGATGATGACGACGACGACAATGACACTGCTGATAGTAGTGAAGTAACTTTCTCAATTGAGTTTTTAGAGATCCCTGCAATAGGTATTAAGAGATTTGTAGACCCAATATCCAGTGAAACAGCATAAGAGCAGGAAAGGGTAAGAACACAACCACTTGGACTTTCTGGAAATTGTTCAAAGAGGATTCAACAACCTAACAAATATTTACTCCATAAAATCCATGTATGGAACATCAACAAGCATCAGTGGTCCTTAGTTGAAACTCTACAAGGCAGATATGGCCAAAAGACAGAAGGACCAGGCCCCTGGGCTCCAGTTCAGGGGCACAGTGTCTTCCAGGGGAGGCATTTCACATCCCTTCCAACCTCAGTTCAACAGAAGCTCACTAGTTTCCTGGTTAACGCATACAGGAGATCGGAGATCCCACCTTGATCCAGTCCCCACTCATATGCAAGGGAACTATTCAGATCTCTGCTCATAAAGCAGAGGTGTCCCCTCCACAAGAGACAGGCTACTGTCCAGCAGCCTCAGCGTCACTGAGGAAAAGCTGCCAGGAAGACTAGAGGATGCAATCTCCTCCTCTCAGAAAACAAACTTTTTTTGACACACAGTAAGGGAAAGTTCATGCCTTTCTCTAAAACAATACAGACTTGGTGAGAAACTAAGAGGGCAGTTGTATGTATGACATATATGACAAGTTATAAACCTCAGGCCAGCTAATTTACTAGTCACAACTGGGGGAAAGATAATTAAGAAGAACATTCCTGAAGTGAGGGGGAAAAAAATCTCTTCTCAAGGGTTGGCCTCAAAAAAAAAAAAAAAAAAAAAAAAAAAAACCTTGCTTAAATTTAATTAGGTCAAATTGTGGTGCAATTTGTGTCCTAGGGAATTGTTGGAAAGGAGAGAACAGTCATCAAGCAGTTGTTGGAGCCCAACAGCTGGGCTGTGATGTAATAGAGAAGGACAACTGAACAGTCAGGAAAGAAGACAAAGAGCTCTGCCTCGTGCCAGAGGCTTCCCACGGTGGAGTCATAGCAAGGATAAGATTTCATTAAGACTAGAGCCAAGTCAGTGAACAGGTAAGAGAGGAAAAGCCCTGTAAGGGTAGGAGAGGCTGGTATCTTGAAATTCTCTTGTAATCTAATTGACTTAAAACATCTTGTCTACAAAAGGACAAGGAAGGAGTGGGGGAGGGAGGAACAAGGGAAAACTAACAGACAGGTAAAGATGCAAACAGGTGAAACATTGTGGCTCAAACACAGAAAACACATAACGCAACTGGAAACTAAGGAGCCTAAATGTCAAATTTTACAGCTACTGCAAAAGCAGCCATTATAAATGCTTTTTTTTTTAATGAATGAAACAATGCCTAAGTAAACTAATCAAAATGTCTCATCAGACTATGTAGGTACCTAGACAAAATTTAAATACATTAACCAAATAGACACTCTATGGTAGAGGAGTCTGATGGAGGTGAAAGTCCCAGGAGAGATGAAGGCCGGATTATTTTTAATATACCTCTGTATATCTATAGAGACAGAGTCTAGTGGTAAAGAATTTGCAACATAGAGAACAGAAAACAACAATGAAAGTAATAATGGAGAAATGAGAAGAGCATCTCAGAGAAACATGGACCAGCACTGTGTACATGAACACACACACAACAGGAATACCAGAAGGGGAGGGGCAACAGCCTGAACAGAAAAAGATACCCAAAGAAATGATGGCTGAAAAAATACTGAATTTGATGAAGATCCATCTAGATGACTCAAAACCTTAATAACATCAGAAGAATAAAACAAAGAGATGCATCACATTTAAAAGGTTTAAATAAAAGGCAAGAAGGGGGCCAAAAAGGTAGGGGTGCCTGCCTCCAAGCCTGAGTTCATCCCTGTCACCACATGGTAGAAGGAGAGAAAAGACTACTGCAGTTGTCATTTGATCACTGATGTGGTCAGTAGCATGCGTTATAACACACATGCATGTACACACACACCCCTACACACATAAGTGTAATAATTAATAAATTAAAAAACAAGAAGTAAATATTGAAAGTGGTAAGAGAAAGAAAAACCCCTACATATAAAGTAACCCTTCTGAGCCTTACATCTTACTTCTTCTTAGAATCACAGAAGCCAGAAGGCCAATGCAGTGGAATGACATGGTCAGGGTGTCAAAGAAACTGCCAACCAAGAGTCTTTGGTCCAGTAAAGTTATCTTTTACAAATCAAAGCAAAATAAAGACATTTGTATAAAAACAAAGACAGAAAGAATTTGTTCTCTCAGACATTCCTTAGTAGGAACAATAAAAGAATTTTTTTAGGCCAGAGGCAAGAGAAAGTAGCATTAATCCTCATCAAATCAAAGACAAAGACATTGGCACAGACCATCATGTATTGTGGTCTTAGGATATAGCTCAGTTGGTAGAGTAGTTGCTTAGCATGTGCAAAGCCCTGGGTTCGATTCCTAGCATGGAATAAAGAGTGGTGGTGCTCACCTACAATGTCAGCACTGGGGAGGTAGAGGCAGGAGGATTACAAGTTCAACATCATCCTTGGTTACACAGAGAGGTTGAGGACTGAAAGATCCTGTCTCTAAAAATATATGTATATTATATATAGCATATATATATAATAGATATTAAAATAAAATATCATAAAGAGGATGAGGACTGAAAGACACTGTCTCTCTCTCCACTGAAAGACTCTCTCTCTATATATATATTTATGTATATATTTTATATATATATTAAAATAAAATTATGTAATTGTAGAAGATAATATAAATAATTTGAAATTTAAATTTTAACTTTTTACATACTAGTATGCATGTGTACCTGCTTGTCTGGATATTCAGCATGCACAGGCAGTGCACACAGAGGCCATAAGAGGACACTGAAACCCCTGGAACTAGAGTTCCAGGCAGTTGTGAGCTGGCTGACATGACAGAAAACACAACCCAGCTCATCTGCAAAAGCAGCAGCTGCTCTCAACTGCTGAACCATCCGGTCCATCCCTACAACAATACAAATCTAAAATTTACTTATTTCTATTCACTAATTTAAAAGAAAATGGAGTTTGTGTCTAATAACATGTGTGCTGTTATATTGTTCATTCTAAAAGAAAAGGAAATATAATATTCCTAACATAACAACACAGCAGGAATGGGCAGGAACAAAGCTGTGAGATAATGAAGAGATCCTATGTTGTGCCTGGATTTTACCAGAACAAAGAGAAGAAGAAATGGTACAGAATGGTTGAATTAGGGCTGGGGCTGTAGCTCAGTTGGTAGAATGCTTTTCTAGCATTCATGGGGTCCTAGAATTGATCCCTACAATCACAGCACTAGGTGGCAAGAAACAGATGGATCAGAATTAGAGGCCAGCCTGGGCTACATGAGACCCTGTGTCAAAACAAAATAACAGCAAGAGAAAAGTTAAAGTCACAAAATATAGATATAGACTTGCCCTCCTTCTCTAGCTTACTACATGAAATTGCAATACTTAATTCTAGCAATGTATTCCTGGGTTTGTGATATATGTGATTATAATGTACATAAAAATAATATCAATGCCTTTAGTCCCAGCATTCCGGAGGCAGAGGCGAGTGGATCTCTGTGAGTTCAAGGCCAGAAAGTTTCAGGACAAGTAAACCCTGTCTCCAAAAACAAAACAGAATAATAATAAATAATGATAATAAGTATAATAATGCCACAAAAAGAGAAGAGGAAGTGGCTGTGTAAATAAACAATACTTTTATATGTCACTGAAATGAAGTGTAAATCTAACTGTGCTGGTTTGAATAGGGGTGGGCCCATAGGCTCATATATCTGAATGCTTGGTCCTTAGAGAGTGATGCTACTTGGCAGGGATTAGGAGGTGTGTCCTTGTAAGAGGAAGCATGCCACAGTGGTGGGCTTTGGGGTTTCAAATGCTCAAGTCAAGCCCAGTGTCTCTTCCTGTTAGACCCCCAGAAAACTCAGGTATCCGGGGTCCCAGGCCATGACCTCGGTCACCCCAATCACCAGGCGCATTCAAGAGCTTGCTGCAAACTGCATGAGGCTTTATTGTTTTTTTTTTTTTTTTTAACGAGCTAACCCCATGTTAGCTCGAGTCTTTCACCCACCTGCCATGGCAGATGACTAGCAAAGACAGCTCCAACCGCTGCAGAGAGAGATCTTGTAGGGCAGCGTAAGGGGAGTGTCTAGGGGTACGCACAGGCTCAGGATTGGAGGGCTTGCCCTGTGTTGATTGGTCAACTGGTTGTTATGGCCCATAGGCCCTCCCAGGGTAGTTGCTATGCTCGTCATTGCTGTGCACTTGTCCGTAAAGTACACCCAGGGTCTTAAAGCATAGCGCCACCAGCTAATTTCTGATTGGTTCCTTGTCACGAGGCAGGCATCTGACTTTCTAGTGTCTAGGACGGACAAGGTCAGACAAGCATGTGTTCGGCCGTTATAGCTGCCGAAAGAGGAGCTGGTCCCTTCATTCCTACTGCCTATGGATCCAGGTGTAGAACTCTCAGCTACTTCTGCACCATGTCAGCCTGCATGCTGCCATGCTTCCTGCCATGATAACAATGGACTAAACCTCTGAAACTCTAAGCAAGCCCCAATTAAATGCTTTCCTTGTAAGAGTTGCCATGGTCATGGTATCTCTTCACAGCAGTAGAACACTAACTAAGACAGCCCTCATAGTCTCCTTTATTTGAATACTTAGTTCCTAGGTAGTGGCACTGTATCCTTGTTGGAGTAGGTATACTCTTGGTGGAGGTATGTCACTGTGGGTGGGCTTTTGGATTTCAAAAGTCAGGCCAGGCCCAGTGTGTCTCTCTGTCTCTCTGCCTGCTGCCTGCTGCTCAGTAGGTAAAGCTCTCAGCTACTGCTCCAGTGCCATGTTGTCTTCCTGCCTGCTGCGACAGTCCCCCATGTTTCTCATGGACTAATCCTCTGAAAGCAAGCCACAACTAAATGCCTCCCTTTATTAGCAGTTGCCTTGGTCATAGTGTCTCTTCCAGCATTAGAACAGCTACTAATATGATAAC